AGGTTTGTACTGAAGTAGCTGATAAATGAATGAGAACTTAATAATGATTGAATATTATTTATTTCTTGTCTTTTTTATCCACCTTTTCTGACTTATTCACTTATGTTCCAAAAGTCACCTTGTAAAAAAAAAGGAATAGGAAGAGAACAGATATATCGTGAGAATATTGATTTAGATAATAACATCATGTATATAACTTCTTATAGAATTATTATGACAAACTTTGTACACGAGGAAATTAAATAAAATATCAACGAATACAATCAAAACTACTTAAAACAGCGTGCTTATGAAGAGTATAATTTAGGTGGGAAATTTCTTTTCATTCAAGAAAACTGCAAATTGCACTTAAAACTTTACATGACATTGATTTGTCTATTAAACAACAGTTGCAAAATTCTTGCCATTCCTAAGCTTTAGAAAAGCGAGCGCTGTTAAAGTTTTGATGGTTTTGACAGCCCTTTCTGAACTAGAGACGCGCGTGTAGAACAAAGTGATACAGCAAAAGGTCAAGTAGTTCAACATTCAAATTCAAGGAAAAAAAATGAACTTAAACACCCAATTTTATGTTAACGCCCCCAAAATCTACCTAGTTCAAGATCAATAATATACCGCCTATCAATCATAAAAAAAACAATAGCTACTGATTTGATTGACGGGCCAGCTACCTGTGCTACCTGATAATCTGAGTTTGTATGTTTTGAAAACAATTTACCTGGTCACGCGTCAAACCCTTTCATGTACCGCGTTAATAGTCGCTTTGTACACACACTGGTAAAAAAATCCAATCGCTGTTATACTGAGTGATAATTATTTAAAAAAAAATAATTGAGAGTAGATAATTAAACCTGGACTTCACGTGGGTTTTTTTTTTCGTCACTGCTGTTTTGTACTTATAAGAAATACCGGGTATGACGTCCAAGATAACTCTAGAGCTTTCCGAAGAAAAACTAGCGGCTATTCGAGCCCTTTTCTCCTTCAATGACTGGGACTGGGGCCCTGAGAGGGAAGAAGAAGTTCCTGTAACAGGTCAGACCGAATCCGAGCCCCTTATTCAGCCTGTGCCTGGATTTGAAGAATGTCCGGATTGCCTCTGTCGACCTTGCGTCGTACATGAAAATCATCGGCAATTGTGATGGCCAGAGAGTCCTCGTTTACCATCCCGGAGAAACAGTCATTCCCGAAAACAACTTTATAAGAAGTTTTGGACAATGTTGTGTCATCGTGGAGTGTGGCAGGACAGTCGATATGTAGAACGAAAAGCGCGAGCCATTCAACTTGACATGCAGCGAAGGAGATTCGTGTGGCAGTCTGTTGGACCCAAAAGAGACATTATGCCAAACTGTGTCATTCAGCAGGTCAGGGAATGGTTCCCAAACACAATAGGACAGCCTTACATGGGACATATGTGGCAGTGACTCTGTAAATAAGTTGACTTGACTAATTTATTGATACAGTATACCTAATAAAGAAGGGGGGTGCAAATGGCTCTACTTTGGGGAGGCCTTCACGTGGCTAGAGCTGGAAACATTGTTATAACGAGTGATAAAAGTTTAAAATAAAATCTGTAATTTGAATCACTCTTTGTAACAATGGCTAACGACCCCATTACAAACACGATTTCAATACGAATCGTAACTCAAATGTATACATATTAACATATATACAATAAAGTACACATGTATTCGGGATGCAGATGTTCAAAATATAGGAAAAGTTATATTTAATAATATGTATTTTTCTAGACACCAGTTTCCATAATTGATAAAATTGAAACATGAAAGAAAAAAAAATAGAGAAAGATTTGTTAACAATGACAAACTCTCCCATTACACATGTGATGTCAATACAAATCGTAACTCAGATGTACATATTAACATGAACAGCAACGTACGCTTTCTGGAAGCATATGTAAAAAAATGTTTAAAACACACTAAACATGTTTGTCATAAATCGATACAAAATATAATAAAACAAGTTCAGCCTTTTAAATAAGTAAATTTCCTAAATTACTCTATATAAGTTTAAAGGAAACACCATTTGATTAAACATCTTAATTTATTTTGATCTCTAGTATCTATGTGTTAAAAAAAGAAGAGAGAGAAAACTAGTAGTTTGTTCCTATAATTTTCAAATTTAGCTATGTTAATCGCTGTAACAAAATAATATAATAAATGTAGCCCTTTCGACAGATATATGGACTTTATATATATATATATATATATATATATATATATATATCTATATCTATATATATATAAAGCACTAAAAATGACCAACGACACGAACAATAATAATTGTCAAATTTTCGGGACGACCTGCCCCTTCCTCAGGACAAAGAAAAAAATTAAGAAGTCATAAAAACAAAGGAAATAGTGAAACAAAAACAACAAGCACTACTACTAAACTACCAAACACTAAATATTTACAGTTTTAATTTGAAGTTTATAAACAGTTGTGAACAAAGAAATCCGGAGCGCTATGAATTGCGTCCTGTCTATCGGGTGTACTCTGGTGAAGTGCGATTTACATAATTATTATTGTTCGTGTCGTTGGTCATTTTTAGTGCTTTATATAAATTTCCATCCGTGACCTTGTATCTACTTAGTAGATCCGACACTTAGGATATACAGTGTTGTTGGTTTTTAGTGCTTTATATATATATATATATATATATATATATATATATATATATATATATATATATATATATATATATATATATATATATGTATATATATATAAAATGATAGGAATAATTTCACATTGTTTTATTCAGAAAGTTCTTGAGTGTGTCTATGCACCATTAGAGAGACAATTTCTATTTAAAGACTGCAAATGTCATTGCTTGTCAAAGTTACTTTTGATTTATCAAAAAAATTATTTCGACAAGTAAAATCATTACTGATAGAGAAAAAAAAAAGTTCACTCTCATATTGAGTTTATTTATGATTATTTATCAAATTTTAGAAAATAAAATCAGGGTTTACAAGGTCAGTTAGATATGGTTAATTTGACTGCCCATGTAAAGCTAATACCTATACCTTAGATTATTGAAGGGTTTGTGAGGAGGAATGCTTCCTTTATTTTTAACGTCAAACATGAAACGTGGAATCGTTTTTAAAATCAATAACATTGAATTTTTGTGCCTAAAAACTTTGAAAATCATTAGTTTTTGCTTGATTAATGTCTGGAAATACTATTTAATTACAGTGGCGCCGCGTTTATCCGGACGCCATTTATCCGGACGCTTCACCATCCGGACGATATTTTTTGGGAACCGATTTTTTCCACGTTATTTTGTCTCATTAATCCGGAAATTCGCGTTCCGTATCCGGACGGTCAATTTCTACTACAAAACGTAATATTTCATTGTAAAATGACTCATTTATCCGGACGGTAATTTTTCAAAAATCGACTTTTTCACACTTATCTTGCATTCGTGTTAATTGTTGTAAAAACATTGGTCATGCAGTCAGTTTGAAGGCGGTTACCTGTGACCTACAAACAATAGCGTCTATAATTAGCGTGTGTTTACCCCAATTCAATCACACGTTTATCTTTAGTATGAAGCAAAGAATTTAGCTTATACTGTGCATTAATTAAATAATAATCTGTTCAAAATCATATTGCTAACCGTATGTACATCGGTAAATTCATGAGAATTTTGGAGAGTTGTAAATAAAATGAACAATAAATAACGAGCGATTTCGTAATGCTCTTTATCATGTTGATTGCGTTAGTTTAAAATACGAATCTATTTCTAAAAACGTTAATGTATTTGAAACGCTTTTTTCCCACAAGACATTTTACAAAGGTACATAATTGAAGAAATATCTCTATTTAATGTAGTACCATTTACAAACGTCCATTACTTTAGAAAAGATATATAAAACTTACGTTAGGTACAGATGTTGATTACGTTTTTCAAGGTATTTTTAATGATGGGAAGTCAAACTTAGCTTCTCTAGAAAAAATAATATTGATAATCAGAAAGATGGCTTGTGTTTACGAATGTTTTTAATACTTTGTTTGAGTTAGCTTGCAGTGTTCAGTTATTTTATAGTAACCCTGTGTAATGAATATACGGGGAATATATGGCGTTAGTTTATATTTGAATATTTTCAATGATGATGCTGAACAGTTCTGTCATATCATATGAGCTTCAATAAATATAAAATATGGCGAAATAAAACAACAGTAGATCAAAATTTGTTCAACCCATGAAATCACATGCCAAAGAGAAGGCGAATTAAAAAAAGGAGGTCTCAGCATAAAATTGCCCATCCATTTTTTTATTGTGGAAATTACATTTTAATATATTTTTTCTTTAATCAATTACTGCTTTTAAAACAATAAACCAAAATATAATTTAAAAGTTTTTTTTTCTTTGCTGTCACATTTTATACAGGAATGTGCATATATACATGCTTAAAGAGTGTTTTTTTGAGATGTGATTCAATTATCCGGACGATTCATTTATCCGGACGATTTCGTTGGGGACAGAGACGTCCGGATAAACGAGGCGCCACTGTATTTTAACTTTTGTAAGTTTTGTTTGAAATGAAAAAAATACATCAAGTTCATTACAAAATTAATTACTCTTAGTTTTACCTACCTATTATTACTAGTATTTCCTTTTTAGAGTGACTTTCCGTCCATGGACCCAGTGCAGCTCTTTCGGTATTTATCTCCTTGAAGAAAATTCAACCTCGCAGTCTTTTTACAGTGATTAAGGAACATTACAGCAATATATGAGAGAAAACACTTCTTATACAAAATTTGTCTCATTACCTGACAAATCATATTTTATCAAATGTTTCTGAAGAAGATTTTTTTTTACTTTTCTGCTATGGCTTAGGTGACAATTTACTGTCCCATATGCTTGAAGTTTTTATTTAATATTCAATTCAATATAGGTCTAAAGTTTCATGTGCTCTCCAGTATATCAACTCCCTAATCAATACTTTTTTATCGTCTATAGATACATAACACCTCCAGAGCTTGCAGAGAATTTATTTCTATATACACATACACCAGTCTACGATGATTCGATGATGGGCGTCGTTATCGGGCGTCGGTAAACATTTTCCTGCCTAATAATACTTCTTTCCTGAAAAAATAAAATGCTAAATCTTTCAGTAAATTAAGAAAATAATGCTTTCACCAAAGTCAAATTATGAATTTCAACCTTCAATGTGTTTTTGAGAAATGTTTACATAATTTTTAATGTAATGATAGAGGATGTTAATAATGAATTGATTTTTTCTTGCATAATATTACAATTCACAATGGAATAAACATAATTGAAATAAAATGTTTATCCGATATAAGATGTTACTTAATTTTGCACAACAAAGTTCCCATACTTTAATAATCTAGCAATTTGCTGTCTTCATCCAAGTTCATATCACCGTACCTTGCAAATATCCAATATTAATTGGACGGAAAATAATTGGCCTTGTTTTTCTAATAACAGCATCAAAAGTCTATTTCCATTATACGTTGGACCCTTACCTGTGTCTTATACTGGTTTGATCGAGCTTTATTAATAAGGAGACTTCTAAATTTTTCTATGTATCTAAATATAAATTAAAAGTTAACTGGTCTTCCTTAGGATTAGGGACCGCATTTTGTCAACAAACTATAAGGATCAGTATTGAAGCATTCATATTTATTTCAAGATTTTATCCTTGCTTTTTAAAGGTTATCTTACTCCCCCTTTTCTCTTTGGAAATATTTTGTTTTAAATTAAATCTACGTTCATGAGGTGTTGCTTGCGCATTAGATTAACAAGTTATAGTCCTGATGTTTTCAAGGATAAGATTTTCTATACCAGTGAATCCATGTGAAGGTCCTATTTTTTGAATTTACATTATATGAAGACATTTTTACCGACGTTTTCTCGCTTCTTTTTCGTAATTTATTTGGAGGAATATCTTATGTGAACCTTTTACTTCAATACATTATAATACAGTCCCTTTCAATTATCAGTGGATGATATGTGGTAATTTTGGTAAAAAATTATTGGATTGAAGAGAAATAGAAAAATGAAGAGGAAGACAGAATTATTAAAGATAATTTCTACGTAACTTTCAAACTTCGGGTGTGATAAAATACGTGTGAGAACACAATACATAAAACATATACATAATTTAAAAAAAAACAAATATAAAAGGAAATTACATGAACGTCCAAACCTACCTCCTAATCCACCTCCAATACCTCCAAGACCGCCACCAATACCACCAAGGCCGCCACTGATGCCACCAATACCACCACTGATACCACCAAGGCCGCCACTGATACCGTCAAGACCGCCTCCAATACCACCAAGACCGCCCAGGCCATATCCGCCTAAGCCACCACCGATTCCGCCTAGACCACCGCCTATTCCGCTTAAACCACCACCGATTCCGCCTAGACCACCGCTGATTCCGCCTAAACCACCGCTAATTCCGCCTAGACCACCTCCAATCCCGCCTAAGCCACCGCCATAACCCCCATATGGGAAACTTGATCCCAAAATTCTTAACAAGTAGATGATGTATTCAATATAATAGTAGAAATAATATCCTCCGCCTGGGTAGTAACCTCCTAATCCTCCTCCTAGTCCTCCAAAACCTCCTCCTAGTCCTCCAAAACCTCCTCCTAGTCCTCCTCCGTAACCTCCTAGTCCTCCTCCGTAACCTCCTAATCCTCCTCCAATACCGCCTAGTCCTAATCCTGCTCCCAATCCGCTTCCTAGTCCCCCACTTACAAAGCTACCAGAACTGAATCCGCTAGAGCTTATTCCTCCGGCTCCACCCAAACCACCGAGTCCTCCAGTTAAGGCACCTCCACCCAAACCACCGAGACCCCCACTTAAGGCGCCTCCACCCAAACCACCAAATCCTCCTCCTCCAAAGCCGCCAGCACCATGACCTCCCTTAACTGTAAATGAATTGAAACAATAATTAAATATTAGTATTCAGCCAAAACAGATGAAGAGGGCCATGGCTGATGCGGAGTTACCTAGAAAAGATATAGTATTCACAAACTTATATTAGTATACTTACCCGAGGCTTGTGCATACACAGCTAAAGCTAGAAGGACTGTAAACTTCAACATCATCCTTTAAAAAATAATCACGAAATAACATCCCGAATTGAAGTTATAAAGTATATTAATTAGTAAAAGAGAGGAATTGAAATTTTCAAATGGTAATTTGAGTTGATCCCATTAAAAAAAAGAAAAGAAATATTGAATGAACACTGAATGGAAAAAAATTTCGATACGTATGGCTACCTGTCCTGTTTCTGTGGGCGATGTATCAACTGAGGGGACCTGTACGCTATTTATATGCCTCCTTCTCCAGTTTCCTTAAATTCGGCGCTTTTTTCTGGGGAGGAGAACATGGACTGAAATTAACGATATGACAGAGGTGACATTACATAATATGTTAACAATTTATGTTGTTTATAACCCTGTCGATAAAATAAACATCAGGACGTTCTGAGATCAATGTTAAAGATCGAAATATCATCCCTGAAACAAATTACTTTCTTTTGATGTCTATTTCAGTCCGTGCATTTCCGGGTCATTTGCCATCAAATAACACGGATATTTATGTTTATTTTCTTGTAAATTGAATAGATGCAAACAATATAAACATAAGTTTTTAAAATATTTATTTAATTTCAATTAAACATTCTTAAGCATCATTTCTTAAACTTTTTGTCTTTATGATGACAAGTTGCGATTACAGTTATTTGTTTTTAAGTCCATTTTATTTTCTAAGTTATTTTTTTTCCTCATAAATAATAAGGACTGCAAAAGTATTTTATTTGACAAAGCTATAGAATATTAGCGAGTACTAGTAAGCCGGAAAAAAATGCAAATGGTTCGATAAATACGAAAGTGATCAATTCAATCTTTTTCGTTTAAATCTCGTGTACTTACTGAATTATTCGTTTTTGAAATAGCATATGTGCACATTCAAGGTAAAAGACCATCTCTTCATTCTGTAACACATTTTTTTTTCATATGAGTTGGTCTGCACCAGATCTTCTTTGTAAGTATACTAAGAATCTTAAAATAATAGAAATTTTTGGGCAAAAAACATGTCGTATGGACTCACTATACTTTTTATTACACTAAGTTCATTTTCTTTCCCGTGACATTTTGGAAGTCAAGTTTATCAAGGGTCATATGACAAATAAGGTTTATATGCCTTTGTACTTTAAAAAAATGAAATAAAAGAATAATACCTGTAATAAAACAAGAAATTCAAGAAAGATACTCAGAATTGTTTATTTATTGAGTCGAAATCCACATTTAAACCGCATTTTATTTTAGTTCTTGAGAAGATTTTTTAATGACCCCACACTATATTTGCCTTTTCTTGATCATCTCTTTTTGGAAGAAGACTTGGCCTTTTTTAACAGCTTAGAATCCCCTTTACCAAAAGATACTTTGTGACAATTTTGGTTAAATTTGGCTGAGTGGTTCTTGAAAAGAAGTCGAAAATGTGAGAAGTTAACAGGAACGGACAACCAGACAGAAGGACGGACACTGGACACCGGGTGATCAGAGAAGCTCACTTGAGCTTTTAGCTCAAGTGAGCTAAAACTGATAATTTAAGAAATTTTTGATTTTCACAAGTTTGTAATAATGCCATATCTTCGAAATTAATAATAACTATTCTATAAGTACTACATAGTTCACAAATTTAATTCGATTTTAAATACATTTGAACCATTTTCTATGCCTCGTTTTCCCAGTTTCTGTTTACAGTATGGTGAAAACTGTTGTCATTATCATATTCTGAAAATTGTCCATGAAGTTCAGGAGTGAAGAAGATGGAATTGCTGTATAATAAATACTAATATAACTTATCCCTACTCTGAGATCTGATTTCTGGTCACAAGGGACATAACTTTATAATTTTGAAAGAGGATTTTATATTTATCTTCTCATTCCAACAATTTGTCTGCTACATTTCTTTGAGTTATGAAAAATGTTTTCAAAGAAGTAATTTACTTTTAAAATTGGCTGCTAAATGTCAATGAGTAAAGAAGATTTTCAAGGGCGTAACATAAGTTTAATAATGTAAACCAACTATTATTCGCGTGCGAGAAATATCCGCGAGTTACGCGATCTCTTTTTATTCGCGAATAATTCTCGCCGCGAATTATTACTTTCTATTTTGGTTTTGTGTAGAACGTCTTCTCAGTCGCAAAAATTAATCATTGCGGATTGATTTCAAACTTACGAAACGCGAATAAACGATGTCGCGAATAATAGTTGGTTAGCTTAGTGCTTCCATGGGGTGTAAAAACTGGATCCATTTGGTTAATTATAGTGCAATCATGTTAATTTCAAACCAGTCTGCCAGCAAGAAAAAAATATTTTTGAAAAATGTAATGGATCTTTGACTAATTTAGCACAGCATTGCGGCCTGAACAATGGGTTATGGATTTTACAATGACAGAAGCTATTGAAAAAAGATTTGCGAGTTAGAATTGTTGATTTGTAAATAAAGGTAACAATCAGCAATCAAGCTCAAAAGTCCATTGACACAACACAAATTGTGTGCAAAGCAAACACGGACTCTAGGAACAAAAGAGGCGTGATCGGGTGCCATATAGGAGTAAGCTTCCTGTCGACCAATGATCAACTTAATCAGCCCATCCTAGTACCAGTTCCTTGAATTAAGGGCCCAGATTGGCAGAGAACCGTCTGGGTTTTTTTTATCATGCTTAAAGTCTGTCTGTTTGGTGAAGAAAATGAAGACATGACCCAATAATTTTTTTTTTTATAATTATTTCATTTTGTCTTGCTGGACATGTCATCACTAGTGACGTAGACATAGTTAGTAATGAGGACCTTAAATCATTTATTTTAAATGGGCCACAATTTATGGATCCCCGATCTTTCAACTTGCGTCATAATTTTATAAATATTATGAACTCTGTCAAAGATTACGGCAGGCAATGTGCCAAACATGAAAATGAAGACCTTGACACTGTCAAAATGGATTAAAAGTATCAGATGAATGTTGAAATCTCGCATTAAGCGATTGAGGGGCAATATGGACACCATCTATCCTTCTATAATTCAGAATTTAAAAAAAGAAATAGATTACACGACCAATAAGTACTGGTCCCAGTTGACAAAGTAGGTAACAACATTTTCTTTGTTTGTAAGGCTCATTATATTAAATATATTTTTGGAAAGAAGATACATAGCAGGTTGCAGTAAATGTTATCAAGCCTCTTTCTTCTTTTGTTTGTTTGTTGTTAACTTTCCTATCGAGAATTTTTCACTCATATGGAGACGTCATTACTTGCCGGTGGAGAGCTGCAAATTTTGACCTATACTCAGGGCCATTTAGTAGTGAGGGATCTTTTTCGTGCCAGCACCTACTGCGACCCGGGACCTCGGTTTATACGGTCTCATCCAAAGGACCGGCCTCCATGTCCCACAGTGGGATTTGAACCCGCGACGTAGGAATCAACTCCTTACTCCGCGACCCTAGAGCAAACGTTCTAACCACTGCGCCATGCAGGCGACTCAAGCCACTTTCTTTACTCTTCACTTACATATTAACAGCTTAATGGAGAAACTTCGGGAATATGGTAGAACAATATATTCAACAAGTGGTGTATATCAGATGTGGATATTTAAAACAAGAGGCCCATGGGCCACATGGCTCACCTGAGTACTTTGGCTAAGAAAAAGCAGAAATCAGTTCAGTATTCAAATGTGGTTCCGGCATTTGGTCTTCTATTGATACCTTGTCCTACCTCCAAGGACATGATTGGAACACATCTAAAACTACTCTACCTGAGAATGCGTCTGAATAAATATGACTGGCTTTGATGTTCTTGAGATTGATTGATTGTATGTTGTTTTACGTCTTGTTCGAGAATTTTTCACTCATACAGAGACGTCGCCATATACCAGTGAAGGGCTTCAAATTTAGACCTTTACTCGGCACTCAGGGCCATTGAGCAGTGAAGGTTCGTTCCTTATCGTACAAACGCCTACCGTGACAAGGGATCTCGGTTTTTAAGGTCTCATGCGAAGGAGCCGCAACTTTCATTTCAAAGCGCCGAGCGCTTGGCGAAGGAACAGATGATTCCTATTTTTATCGATTTAGGTCAGTCGCGTCCGTGATTCGAAATCACGACCTTTCGATCACGGAGGTTGTTCTTGAGAAGAAAATTTTTACTGATATACCCCTTATATTTTTTTTTATAACTTAGATCCTCTGTTGTGGCCCCAACCAACCTCAGGGGGTCAGGATTTACACAAACCTGAATCTATACCACCTGAGGATACTTCCATACTTATAATTATAATGACTAATCATGACTTTGCTGTTCTCAAGATCTTTGATCCCCCCTGGTGGCCCCACCCTACCCCCGAGGAGTCATGATTTGAACAAATATAAATCAACAATACCTGGGGATGCTTCCAATTCAATATGACTACACAAGACTTTGCTATCCTTGAGAAGAAGATATCTCAATTTTAAAGATGTTTTCCTATATATTTCTATGTAAAAATTTAATCCCCTATTGTGGCCACACCCAATCCCCTGGGTCATGATTTGAATAAATCTGGCTCTACACTAGCTGAGGATGTTTTCATAATGATATGACTAATCATGACTTTGCTGTTCTTAAGAAGAATTTTTTTCCCATATATCCCTATGTAAAACTTTGATCCCCAATTGTAGCCACACCATATCCCAAAGGGCCATGATTTGAACAAATCTAAATTTATGCTTAAATTATATCTGAGGATGCTTCCGTATTTATATGAATAAAAAGCCTTTGCTAACCTTGATAAGAAGAATTTTTCAAATTTTTTCCCTATCTATTGCTCTGCTAAACTTTGATCCCTAATTGTGTCTCCGCCCTCCTCCCAGAGATCATGATTTGAACAATTCTTGAACAATTCAATACTATTTCTTTAATTATCTCCCCAAGGGAGCAGGAGTGGCCCTTCAATTCCCCAGTTCAAATCCCCTTTAGCCTTTGGCTAAGGTGAGCTACAAATCCAAAGAACTTTTAGAAAACTCAAAGCACAAAACTTTACCAAAATCAGTAACATAAAAATGTACGACTTTTCAACACTTTATATCACCATTCCCCTCGATAAATTAAAGTTCAGACTTTTTGACGTCATAGACAGCTCCTTTGTCAATAAAAATGGAACTCATAAACTTATTTACTTAATAACTTTGTCATTAGTCATCTGCAAAATTATTTTATTAAAACGCATTCTGAGGTAAAAGTATTCTGAGGTTGATATTAAAAGAATGCTTGAGTTTCTGATTGACAATATCTATGTAGTTTTTCGAGATCTGGTCTGTCGGGAATGCACATGGGTACCAATTGTGCCCCGTTTTTAGCAGACCTATTTTTTTATTAATATGAAGCAGAATTTATTCAAAATCCTATACATTAGACAAGAAAACACTTGCTGTGGCTTTCAATTCGGCATTTAGATATATCGTATATTGTCAATTAACAATAGTTACTTCCATTCATATGTCGACTCGATAAAACAGTGAACTTGAAATAAAAGATACCACAGAGTTCCATATTTGTTTCATACACTGTATTTGGATATTTAAATAGAAAAAGACACTAATGA